TCCTTTGCCTTTACATAGTTATAAAGTGTGTGTCATCTAAATAATCAGGGCCATGTGGGACAAAAGCATGGCTCCAGATCATTGTGGTGAGCATTGTAGCCATTGAGGCAACTGATTCTGTACATCTTACCAGAAGAGGAATTAGAGCGCCATTACTGCAGCTTTCACCAAGTTGTCTGTTACTGTAGGGAAAGTAGATACAGTGATTGTAGGATGACAGCTAGTGCATAGGTGACAGTCAGTACACAGCAGGTACTGGCCTTTCCTTTGAGCTGGGCCCTACATCCACCTCTGCTACTTGCCCTTCTTCCCCAAGTCACTTCCCCGTGCTTTAAAACACTGGGTTCTGATCAGTAGATTGGAAGAATAGTAGAATAGTAGAATGGCAGAAACTGTCTGTTCACTAGGCTAGGGTCTCAGCAGTGTGCTGGGGACAGAAGGAAGAGAGTTGCTGGGAGTAACTGAGAATAGTCAGGAGACCAGCAGCTGAGCGCCAGCCTTTGGCCAGCAAGAATTCCAAAGGGGCCTTCACACAGCACACTAATATATGGCTTATGAAACCTGAGACCATCAAGCCTCCTCCCAGCTTTTGTTTCTCCTTGGCTTACCTTGCTCCACTGGCCACCATTTTGTGAAGCTAAAGGTTCAGGGATCTAATGGTGCAGCCCAGGCAGTCTTGATGTCCTAACCCAGAGTCAGAGTGGAGCTGACCATCTTCACTGTCCTTTTTCACCGATTTCAGGCTTTTGCATGAGTCCCGCTCCACCATTTAGTGTAGTCTCCCAGATTGGGCCACCCAAGAGAAGGTGGGCATTTCTTGTTCCTTTTTCATGAAGACTAGTTTGTATTTGGATGTCCTTAGCTGGTCAGATTTTTACTAAGTATTTCCAAAAACCACATGAATCTGACAGGGTCCAGCATTAATTAAGAAACCCTGTAGAGCTTCAGGTAAAGAAATTCTGAAACACACTCCCAACCCTCCCATCTTTTTCTGGAGGCAGACAGCATAGTAATTAAGAAGGATAGCCTAAAAAGTATTTACTGTTAGCCTGTCCGTCAAAGAAGAATCCCAGCTTTCCTCTCAAGCTCCTGCTCAGGGCTTCCAGTTAGGCAGACTGTGCCCACAGGCCACCCTCTCTCTCCCTTGCCCAGTTCTATCTTGGTGGAGGCCAGGAGTACAAGAAGCAGACATACAGATAAACAGAAACTAACCTGAAGAGGAAACCTTTAGTCTGGCCTCACTGTTCATTCCCTTGCTCCTGGCAGTGTGCACTGTTTGCCTCAGAATGGCGGGCAGACATTTGCTCTTGACCTTGTGGGTGTCAATGCCACACTCAGTAGGTAACTTTACTCCTCTGTCTTTGGGGGTTTGATTTCATTTTACAAATGCCATAATTTTAAATACACAGGTTTACTGTTTCTAATTGAAAAACCTGAAATATGAACTGTAAAAAAAATGAGACCACAATTGGAAAATCTGCACCCTGCCACTGTATACAATTAATAAAAGTACAGCATATGTTTACTATGAGGAAAAAGTGTATCTGACACATAACTAAATTCGTGTTTTGACTTGAATTGTATCACTAAGATCTATCTATCTGGCCATACATACTTCAAAATATTTTTTAATGTCTCAGGCATTTCAGCTAAGGCTCACTGTCCTTGAGTTAAGTTTTCGTGACTTCTCATGGAAACAGAATTTTGAATTTTAAAAGATGTCTTTTTTCATCTGGGATTTTACAAACACATGCAATTCTTAGTGAGATTTCATGATTACCTCACATTTAAACAGTTGCTTGAGACATCATGAGTGTTGCCAGATGAAATAGAAAATGCCCCAGGACGCTATAGATAACTTACAGTTTACAGTAAGTACATGTAGTATTTGGTTACATACTTATACCAAATAATTTTCTGTCTGAACCACAGATTTAACTGGGCATGCTGTATTTCTAAATCTACTTTATACTATTTGCCTTAGTTCTGTCTGCAAGCCACTTGTCTTTTAAGTAGTTGCGTCCACGTAGCGCAGTATGCTTATGATTTCTGAGGTTTCTCAGGGGAAGTGCTGTGCTGCGTACATGAGAGGGTCTCAGACCTGAGTGCTCAAATGATGTAGCCAGGTGCTGTCAGACAGGGCCATGTCTGTGGTGAGGGGATATATTTAAGTACAACTGTATCAGATCTGGGCCGCTAGAACCCAGTCTCTTCAGCTCCTGGAAGTGATGGGTTTGTATATCTTCGTATATGCTTCCCAGTGTTCTTGTGAACTACTTCCAAGGTAGTGGTCCGATAGCAGTATTTCCATTAGTGATACTACTCATCCAAGGATGTATTTCAGATGAGACATTTTAGCATTTCAAGTAAATATTAAAATTAAAGCCATGCTATGGATACATTTTGAGAAATGTATTCTTTGGCAACTTTATCATAACACAAACATCCTAGAGTGTAGTTATGCAAAGCTAACTGCTTGAGGTCCCTGCATACCTGGGTTGTATAGTATAGCCACTGTCAGACATACAACCTGTATGAATGAAGCTATGTGCTCTATGACTTTTTTCTAAATCTGTATTAAATCTTTCCTGGCTCAGAAATCTGCTTGGAAGAAAATGACTAAGATGTTCATGTAAAATAAGTGAGAAAGGAAATACTGTGCTGATGATAAAACCTGTTGGCAGGCTGTGTGAATGGAAAATGCAGGCTGTCAGCCCAAAAACAGACAGATGTGCTGAACTGATGAGTAGGGAGTGGAGAAGGATGTGTGTGTGTGTGTGTGTGTGTGTGTGTGTGTGTGTGTGTGTTTTGTGTGTGGGTGTGCAAGTGCAAGCAAGACTTAATATGTGCATGGCAACCTAGTTTGTAAGTGATTTGTTGCCCGAAAGCTCTTGTTAAGAGTTTGCTCTTCTAGGTGGCACCATTGGAAGGTGGTGGAACCTTCCGGAGGTCATGCTTAGGGAGAGATGATGGGGACCTGCCCTTCAGGGGAGCTGCTTCTTTGTCTCTGGCTCTCTTTTTCCACTTTCTTGAAAGTCTTGACTGTGAGGTGATCAGGTCACCATGGACTCCCTGCTGTTTCCACCTGGCATCTCTAGGTGTCCAGAAGCCATAAGGCCAACCAGTTGTGGACAGAACCTTTAAAATGGAGTCAAATTAAACCTTTTCTCATGATAAGTGTTATCTTGGTTGTTTGATACAGTATTGGAAAACTAGCAAATGCAAATTGGTTGGGTGATATCTATGAAATCTCTCTCTTCCTACGGATCACCAAAATAAATATCAGATATATACAAGAGTAGTTCATCGAGTCAGAAAGAAACTTAAAGTAAAATTCAAGAGGACCTAATTTTTTTTTTTCTCAATAGAAAGAAAAAACAATTCTAAAGATGAAAGCAAATGGTCAGTCTGTGAAATTGCACCCCAGCCTAAGCAAGAACTCAAGCGTACCATGCTTACTTTAAGATACATTACTGAGATATGTTCAGTGAGTTTAATAGAGTGGCAAACTTCATATTTAAAACATAAGTTCTGCTCTAGTTCAATGAAGAAATATGTGTAAGCAAAGATCAAAGAGTAACTTACAGAGATTTAGGAAAATGAGGGCAGTATGACTTCTCTGTTTTTCATCCCCTTTCCTATTCATATTGTTGGAGTTGCTACAGTCCTATAAGCAACTTGATACCTGTGGTCAAGTCCCAAGAAACTCAGAAACCCTTGCAGTGCTCCATTTTCTGTTATGAGTAATGACTTCCTGCCAATTGGATAAATAATGATGGGTTTTGTGTTTGTTCATAGTCCATAGGATTACAGACTGAAGCGTTTCTGCCGCCTAATCATTTCAAAAGCCACCTGTATATTCTAAAATATTCTTGGACACTAACAGAATCTCATGCTATAGCAGCTTGGCATACTGGGAACAATAGATAGGTACAAGGTTGCTATTAATTACTTGTAGGTGATCTTCCCTCAATCAATGATTGTTTTGCTTAATAAGGTTTTGACATTATCATTGTGTAAAAGCAATATGCATTCAGCACAGTTTGAATTTTAAATTTGGATCATTTCCTGGACTAATGTTGTGTTGTATGGTGCTGTCTTGCTATGCTGGGTAGTGGATATGAGCCTCTGGGTCAAGAGAAACAAGAAGTCCTCTGTAGTGCTCCATGTCTCATGTGCAATGTAGAGTCGGTTGGATATGTTCAGTGCACTTTTCACCTCAGATACTGTTCGTTTGTGTTGAATCTATTTGAATATGATCCCACTGCAATCAAAATGGAATCTGTGCCCTGCTTGTGACTATATATTAATTAGACTTAAATGAACATTCTGTGCTTTGGCACAGTTCAAAACCTTTCTAATTACAGAAGTGGTACATGTGTTTTCAAAATGTTCACAGATTTTACAGAGTTATAAGAGATTGTTGACATCTGACTACCAAGAGTTAATCACTGCTCTTTTTTTGTAAGCATACAGATATGAAGTAGCATATTTCTACCCATATTTTCACATTTCTGTCACCATCTTGAGGTGTTTCTATGAAAATACTTCTTTAGAATTCTATATGTTCTGTTTTAATTTTTGCCTAAGATGTTGCCCTCACTCAGCCACTAAGTTCCCTGTCCTGCACAAAGAGCTCCTTATGATCCCTCTCCAGATGTTTCTGGCCCAGGAAGGCCAGTGTTGGGTACTAGCAGTTCTAGAAAGAGTGTGTGCTCCACAGAGTGTTGATTATTGACATTCATTGCCTGAACTGAGCAGTCGACAGCTGTCCTTTTTAATTACTCTTCTGGGAATTCTAAAACAGCTTCTAACTCCCTTGACAACAGATTACAATTTGCCACGATTGGTTTGCCTTCCATAGCACTTTTTCAACTGTCACTTAAAACTATATATTTAAAGAAGAAGAAGAAATTGGAAGGGGAAAAAGGACTGAGCACGAGGAGCCAGGCAGATGTGATGCCTCCCTTCACTCTGTTTCTTTTTTTTTTTTTTTTTAGGACAAAGTGGGGCAGTCAACGTCCAAATCCGAAAACCTAGCTAAGTCTGGGTTTTCGCCACAACCAAGAAGCCAACCAGGTAAGAACAGACTAACTTTGCAACTACTCGAAAACTTCATAGTTATCTTTGGTATGTATCCATGAGATTCCAGGATCCCCTATAGATAAAAAAAATATATATATGAAGGTGACTGAATCTTTATTACAAAGTGTACTAAACCCAAAACCTGTGCTCATCCTCCCGTGCACTGCACATCACTGCGACAATGCTTATCTTTCCTGATAAAGTATGACGTTGTTGGAACACCTGTCACACTGTGTTGTTTAAGGAGGCAGTGACACAGAAAGAAACCTGTGTGTTTAATACGATTGGAATTTTTCCAAGTGTTTCTGATCTGTGCTTGGTTGAACCTGTAATTGTAAATCCTAGGGATACAGAAACCCAGTTGTATATTCCTGGCATTAATAGAGTAAAACTCTAGCATCTTCATTTTCTCTTAAATTCAAAAGATCTAACATACGTAGAACTATATATTTTCTTTTTTTAAGACTTATTTACTACATATATAAACATTTATATATAATATATAATATATAACATATAATATATATATATATATATATTATATATATATATATATATATGAGTGTTCTATTTGTATGCCTTCATAACAGAAGAGGGCATCAGATCCCATTGTAGATGGTCATGAGCTACCATGTGGTTGCTGAGAATTGAACTCAGGATCCCTGGAAGAACAGGCACTGCTCTTAACCACTGAGCCATCTCTCCAGCCCTATATATTTTCTCTGAATGAGCAAACTTCATTGAGTCAAAGGTTAAATTCTATTTTGTGTGAGTTATCTGGGATTCAGCTCTCACTGGATTCTGCATAAAGACAACTTGCCATTGCCTATTGAAGTCCCTCTCCAGGAGATCCTCTCTTTTACTTTCGGGTCCTTTTACCCTGGGAACTGCTGAGTTTTCTATCGAGTAACTCCACAGCAAAATCCAGTGCATTTGGGCCTTTTCGTGTTTTCAGCTATGCTAGTTTTGCATGTATATACTATTTGGATGAGAGATATAGTCTCTCTTCCTTTTTTTCATTCCTTCTATACTGTTGGATTTTTAAGAGCATCACTGTGCAGAGGAAGGAAATGTCTCTAAATGAATATGAAATTAATTTGCTAAATTAGATCTAATAAATGGAAACTTTCATCAAGAATAAAGAATCTGATCCTGTCATGAAACTGGAGGAATGGGCACATGGCCCATTGTTGGGCTGCTGGTAAGTGTAAGTCCAAGAAGTCACAGAGTTTTGAGCTGGTAGGAGTTAAAGTAATCATATATTTTTAATTGTTTCTTGAAAAAGAAAATGACATTTAGCAAAAAATAAATGCTGAGGTATACCATGTAATCAAATAAGTGTTTTCTCAAGCATTAGGCAGCTCATAAAAGAGGCATTGTCTGTGGTAGACAACACAGGTTCATACTTCAGAACATTTTCAAATAATAAGTATAGTATGTTTGATATAAGATATAGATATAAGATATAAATATAATATAAATAAAAGAGGACATGTTTGTTAGGACAGGTTTGAATTTTAACTCAGGACAGCCTACCACTGACAAATGATCTCATTGAAGTTGAGATATTCCAGGCCTTATCTGGAATTCTCAAGAGCTCCTCTCTTATCCTTCGTCCATTCTGCCTTTATACATTCTACTCTCAACTACTCATAGACAGTAGGTAGAGTTGGCTTCCTGTGAGTTCTTGCTTCTCTTACGGGGTAGCAGCCAGTGAACTCCGATGTGTCATAGCACCTGAAAGGGATTCAAAGGGAAAGGATCATGTTTTCATATGAAATTCAACTGCCTATTTCCCTCAGACTTGTAGCCTTTAAGCACACCTGTGACATTGGCTTCCCTTAGTCCTCCTCTTCACATAGCATGTAAAACCAGAAAAACCAAAGAGAACCAAAGAAAGGCCTGGTAGTGTAGCCACAGAACCAACAAGAACAAATAGAGATTAGTCCAAAGTAATGAAGCCAATGAAGGTCTAAAGGGAAGAAATAGATGTTCTAACATACAAGGAGACTGATAACCACTTTGGGCACAACAAATGTCAGATAATTTGATTTAGTTTCAAAGGACTGAGAGAAAGGTAACTGTCTAGAATTTTATACCAACGTATCCTTTCTTGTAGGGCACAATGAAACTTTTCCAAGCAATTCTTTAGAAAACAAGTTACTGGCAAGCTTTGTTGAAAGGATTCATGAAGGGAAACATAAGTGAGTGGTAGAGCCCTTGCTAATCAGGCACATTCCCTGGGTTTGATTTCTCCTATTGAAAAAGGTTATCAAAAGTGCTACTTCAGGAAAGGGGAATAGGAGTATTGAGGGGAACATGGCAAGCAGGAAACAATGCAGTGGAGAGAGGGTAGTGTGGTATTGTTAGTGCAATGCCATGCAAATGGTTGAAACAGGGCAAAGTGAGTACCATGTACTCAGATTTTGGAAGTCTTTAATGAGTATGAGTCATACCTGAAGGAGAATCTAGTTAGGAGAAATAAAATGAGGAATGACTTGTGAAAAGGTAAACTTGATTATGCATTTGAAAATATTAAATGCAGCTAAAAGTTGATTATACTTACTAAAAGAACATATATATTTATAGTTCCTAAGCAAAAAAGAAATGTGAGAATATTTTTTTCTTAAAAAATCAACACCATATAGAAAAAGAAGAAAAAAATAAGACAGTAACAGAAAAATGAAGTCATACAGAACATACAAGATAGCAGGGTAAATCCAAGCATATCCATAACAGTATTCACAGACTCACATTCAAGATTCACCCTTCAGATGATCTAGATTCTTCTCTAAACCTGTGTAACTTTTTTGAAAAGTTGACCATATATGGAAAGTTGCAGTAAATTTTAAGCAATCCATTTCATGAAAGCCTCGTTCTTTGACCTACTATGATTAAATCAAATGTCAAAACAAAGCACGTAACATATTTGTAGAAACTTTAAAACCCTTATTTTGCTCATGGCCTACACAAGAAATCATGCTGGAAATGCCAGTTATTTAGAATGGAGTGAACATGAGGGTACAGCAGTGAGAAAGTGTGTCTACACACTGCTCAAGTGTTGTGTAGAACCTAACTTCTATGTTCCAAAGAAAAGGATTACTGAAGCTAGAAAAGCATATATAGAATAAGTCTGAGCAATTTCAAAGAAAACAATTACAAAAGTTAAAATAGGAACTCATTGAAATAAAAATAGATCAATAGACAATGAAAGCAAAGCTAGTCTTTTGTGTTAACAAATAATTAGAAAGTTATATCACAGCACACAGACTTGTTTGAAAGCAAACCATATTAGTAGCAGCTTAGAGTTTTAGAAGAAAATTTTGAGCCATGAATGTGAAAATATAGATAAATGATTGCAACCATCTAAAAGCATATGTGCTCTTGAAATAGACAATTCTTTGTGTATGTGTGGTGTTGGATAGTGGATCCCTATGGCCCCAGGCATACTAGGCAAGTGCTCTGCCACTGAGCTGAAACCTAACACCAGAAACAGAGAACTCTTAAATAGCTCTAGAGGAACAGGAACCAGTGATCAAGACTCTTCCTTCAATAATACCTAAAGAGTTTGCAGATAAATATTACAAAATTTTGAAGGAACACATATTGTCTGTCTATACAGACTGTTTCAGAGAGATATAGGCACAAGAACTCTCCTACTCGGAGCATATTTATAAGTATACTTGAAATAGTACTGGAAGCCACAATTATAGGCCTGTTTCACATTTTAGCACTCTTTAAAATCTAAATAACTCACTAATTAATCAAATTCTTTAGTTTAGTCTTTAGAAGTATTACACTCAAGTTGGGGCTAACTACTCAAGGTGGTTTATTGTCATAACTTAGGGATGGATATAGAGAACATGTTACAATATTAAAGAAAAAATGAAAGAAGTCTGTCCTTTATTTGAATAACAGGAATAAACTAGAAGTGAGTGTCTTCACACTTTCAGGTTAAGACATTCTGTAACTACAGAACAGTGCATGTATATGTGCATTTCTGTATAAATAAGCCAAATGATACAAGACACTAAATGGTACTTCAGCCCCCTCTCCGATGGTTGGGGCAAGAATGCATGTAACATGCATCGTAATATTTTCTTCTGTCAAAAAAGCAAGAGAGAGAGAGAGAGAGAGAGAGAGAGAGAGAGAGAGAGAGAGAGACATACTTTAGTTCTTATGAATAGAAAAGACAATGTCATATAGATAGGCAGCAAAGAGTCTGTACAGGCAGTTTGTAGAAACATCAAGCGTGCTGTCTTCCTTCTGACTCTGGACACTCATTTCACACAAAAACTAAGGAAACCAACTGAGTGGAATCAAGGAAGCCGATGCTCTGAGGGAGGTTTCGGGGAATACAAGGTCACAGTCCCTCTTTCAAGTGTGTCCAAGTGCAATGTTCATCTTCCCTCTTGGCACACATACAGCACTTGAGAGTCTGTGGCGAGCAGTCCTGGGGTGTACAGCTCTCTGGCAGCATGGTACAGAAGCTGTTCTCTTCCTGGGAGAAAGTGGATCAGTTTGTCTCCAGGCAAGCACGAACCCCCACAGGAGCCTTCAGGGTGCCTTCTTAGTGCTTTCCCCAAACTTCCATCCTCTTGTCCCCACATTCCACACCCAGAACCACATTCAGTATATGAGGTTCTTGGGATATTTGGCTGACTAGGACCAAGACACTATGTTTTTCCTTCTTGCTTCCTTAATTTCTGATACCAACTGTAGGATTAAAAATTTGTGGGACCCAGAGTTGTCAGTTCCGTACAAGGGACCTAATGTATAGAATAAAAGATTAGCTGTGCCTTTCCTTGACCTCTTACTTCTCTCTGGCAAAGAGGATTTGTCGTTCCTGTTTGGTTATCTCATTCCTAACATAAGCTGCTTATTTTTATGTAGCAGTTGCTAAAAACACTCCATGTATTTCTTAGCTGCACCAACAGAAAGGGCCACAGTTTACTTCTAAAATGGCTCATATTCTAATACTTAAAACTATTCTA